CGGTATCCGAGGGCATACAGAGAGCGGGCGAGTTTGCATGACTCACGAACAAGGGCATAGAGAATGGTGGAAGGCGTGCTTGAAGGAAAAGTCTGAAGAGCTCCCAGCTTTCCTCATTGAAGGGGTGGAGGCCCTTTGAAGACTCATCTAAAGATATCATCACCATCAGCTTCAACGCGCCCAGCAAATTACTACTAGAAGTGTTCTCCTCCAGCCTGATAGCAGCCATGCAACACCGACCATCGGGCTCACCAGGCACCTTCACGCCGTACCTTGAGTGATACTTGAGGTCATACCATCTCAGCCGTTAATGGCTACACATTAACCTCAGCAATGCCTGGGTAATGGGATATGACCTCCGATACCTCCATGGTAGAGACATTCTCGCCTTTCCACCTAATACAGACTTACCTCATATACACAGGACAAGGACTCACCTGAATGTATCGCCAATCCTATCGATGAAATAGAAACGACCTCGACGATCCTTCCGCAGGAGATCTCCAGTTCGGAAGTAGCGATCACCCGGTACAAATGCATTGGTGACGATCTGATAAGCGAATCGAGCTGGGCCCCATACACGTATTGGGAAGTGTTCAACAAAGCATGGCGACCAAGGTGATCACTTTCTGATCGGTGGATTTCTTGTCTGTGTAGCCAGCGAAGGAGGATTCTGCTCGGCCCTCCCTTATAGGCATGAGGAGCTCTCCAGGTTCATCTACAGCATACCACAAGCTAGAACATCGGTATCGACAACAGAGCAGAAGAGAATGCAGCAACAACGATGACTACTTGTCCTAGCTTCAACACAGAAACCCTTTCCATTCCTCTCTAAGGTTTCTTGCTCTACATTGAATCTACCGGCAGACAGCACGTATGAATGATGCTGCAGCAGGCAGGGTACTTTGCCAGTTTGTACCCAAGAGCTTTACTGATAATAAGCCCTTGGATTCCCACCGCACCCCGATCTCCAATGTTGGTGGCTGAAAAAGGGGCATTTTCTAACCCGAGCAGCAGCCCAGAGTGGAGACTTACAAATATTTACCAGCCCACCGTTGCCCTCTGTAGCACCATAGAATTCGACCACTTGTGGAATT